GACTCTTTGATTACAGTTGTTGTCCGTCAACTCATGAGGAACCCATTTTCCAAACTTTTGGACTTTGCCAAGTGCACGCAATTGATTGGAAATTGTTTTTTGTGAACAATTTAAAGTTGTCGCAAGCTCTTGTTGGGTAATTTGAGGATTTTGCACCAAAAGAGCTTGAAGAGCTTCTTGATCAAAATTGGACACACGGCCTCGACCACTCTTGTCATCTAACGAAAAATTTCCCTCGCGAAATTTCTCAAACCAACGCTGGCATTTTCTGGCGCTAACTGCATCTTGACCAAGAGCACTACAGATGTTTTTTGCAGCCTCACTTGCTTTTCTTCCTAATTGGAACTCGTAAAGCATGCAGTGCCGAATATGCTCTTCATCCGCCATCTTCTTAGCCCTAGTTTTGCAACAAAAACCAAACCAAACACAAACTTTTTCAAGCAAAACTTGTTAATTGCACTTCACACGTTCTGTAGATACCACGTGTTTGAAGGTTATGTCAATACAAGTCAACGCCAAGCAAGATTTTAAACGAATGTTTAAAAACGACATTAATTATTACTAGACCACGGAAGACTAAAAGAATAGAGAGGGTAAAGAGGGAGACTTGGGAGAAATAGGCCTATTACTCAAGAACAGTTACTCTTTTCATCACTTACCCCCTTCTTTATTCTGGAAAGCTCAGCCATCCTTCCACACACACCATTTCTAAGCTGTCCATCTTTATTCAATCAGCTTGAAATTCCAGTATTAACTTTGTTTTCTTGAAATGAAAAAGAAACACTTTATCCCCCACTGGCTAAGGTACCTAAAAAATTACCTTAGAAAATGAACTCGATACAGCCACATTACCTAATTCAAAATCTTAGAAAACAAACCAGAAAGTGTCATAACTATTACAGTACTATGAAAGCCCTTCTAAATTTAAGATCTTTTAAAAAATAAGAGCATTAAGCCCTGGCCATTGTGGCTCAGTGGTTGAAGCATGGGGCCATGCACTGAAGGGTTGAGGGTTTGATTCCTGGTCAAGGGTGTATACCTGGGTTGTGGGTTTGATCCTCTGCTCTGGTTGGAGGGACTTGGGGAGTCAATAGGTGGATGTGTCTCTCTCACATTGATACCTCTCTCTCTCCGCCTCCCTCCTTCTCTTTCACACTCTCTAAAGATCACTGGGTGAGGATTAACATAAAAAATAAATAAGAGCATTAAAATATATAATTTTCAAAATAAAAGCACATATGTATAAAATCACAGTTTTTCCCCTCCACAGCCTTATATTGAAAGTTCACTTGACAAATAGACCTCATCTGACACATATTTCCATTTTTAGTGGAAAAATCATTGACTTGGATTCTAGTCAGACTCTCCCACTTCCCAGTTAAATTACCATAGGAACATGTCTTTTCCTCTCCAGATCTGTTTCCCCATCTGCAATGATTAAGTTAGACCAGATGAGTTTCTCATCCAGCTTTAACCTCTGTGCTTTGCATGTGAATATCTATATCAATCAACAAAATGTGTCCATTGCAACAAGTTCTACATGGGGTCGTCCAATAATAAACTCATGGTAGTCAGTTTCCAAAGGCATTACTCAGGACAAAAGTCACCTAGGTCGAAGTTGAAAATCCCTGAGGAAGGAATGTACCAGAGACCAGTTTTTTTTATTTTTTTATTTTTATTTTTTTTTATTACTCAAAAAAGCTTCATTTTTAAATTTATTTAGCTTTCTGACTCTGTGCTTGTGCCTTCAACACTTTCACAACAATTTTCTGCTCCTCAATAAGGAAAGCACCCTTGATCCTGTCACGGACACATTTAGCACACATGGATCCACCATAGGCCCTGTTGACATGTTTTTTCGTTTTAGACAACCTCATTAGAACTTTAGGCCTCACAGCTCGAACTCCTCGAAGTCGGCCTGGGCACACACCACATGCAGATTTGGGTGCTTTCCCAACCTTCTTGGTGTAAAGGTAAACAATTCTATTACCAGGGGTTCGGGACAGTCTAGTTTTGTTAGAGGCTGTATTGTAGGACAGCCTCTGGCGGTATGTCAAACGCTGGACCATGGTGTATGCCTGAAGTCACCGTCCCCAGAAAAGCCAGAGACCAGTTTTATGCAGGTACAGTGGTGCCTTGCATAAAGAACGCCTCGCACAGCGAACACTGCACACAACGAACTTCATTTCATGATTCATACAACGAACTTCGTTTCACACAACGAAGTCTCCCGAGCTTCCACGACTGCTTTGCCCGAGCTTCCACGACTGCTTCGCCCGAGCTTCCACGATCGCTGCCGATGTATTGCATCCTTCCGCGCAGGCACTGCAGGCAGTCGTTAGTCACTGCGCTTAACTTAAGCACGTATCGCGGCAATCGTTCTTCATTACGAATTAAATCACGCACGTATCACGGCAGTCGTCCTTTTAAGTTAAACTCAATATTTTTTTTATATCATGGCTTCTAAAAAAAGCAGGAAGGTGATTTCTGTTGAAATGAAACAGGAAATAATTAGAAGGAGTGAATGTGGGGTAAAACAGTGTGACCTCGTCAAAGAGTTTGGCCTCAGCAAGACCACCATTTTCACCATTTTGACAAATAAGGATGCAATCAAATCAGCCAAAGTAGCCAAAGGAGGATCAAAACTATTTCATGAAAAACATAGGTCTTCAATCCACGAGGAAATGGAGAGGCTATTAGCGATTTGGATTAAGGACAGGCAGGTGAAAGGTGATGTAACAACCCAAGATATTATCTGTCACAAAGCCAAGAGAATTTATGACGATCTAAAGAAAAACGTCCCTGGAAGCAGCAGCAATCAAGATAATGAAGAAGAATTCAAAGCCAGCAGGGGGTGGTTTTTTAGATTTAAGAAAAGGTGTGGAATCCACAGCGTTACTATGCATGGTGAGGCTGGCAGTGCTGACAAGAAAGAAGCAGAAAAGTTCTCTATTAACTTTCAAAAATGTATTAAGGATGAAGGATACTGCCCACAACAAGTGTTCAATGCCGATGAAACGGGTCTTTTCTGGAAAAGAATGCCGAGCAGAACCTTCATTACAAAAGAGGAGAAGAAATTGCCAGGACACAAAGCCATGAAGGACAGACTTACCCTTATGTTTTCGTCTAATGCCAGCGGAGACCTCAAGATCAAACCTCTATTGGTTTATCACTCTGAAAATCCAAGAATTTTCAAGAAAAATAACGTTATTAAGTCCAAACTGCCCGTCCATTGGAAGTCCAATCAAAAAGCCTGGGTGACCCAAGTTATCTTCAACGAATGGATTCTGGAAACCTTTGCTCCTGCCGTGAAGAAATTCTTGCTGGAAAAAGAACTGCCGCTCAAAGCCCTTCTGATACTTGACAATGCCCCTTCTCACCCAAAAGACCTAGAGGAAATATTGCAGGAAAATTATCCTTTTATCAAGGTGCAGTATTTGCCACCAAACACCACATCCATTCTTCAGCCAATGGATCAGCAAGTTATTGCGAACTTTAAAAAACTCTACACTAGAGCCCTTTTTAATAAGGTGTTTGAAGAATGCGAGTTTGGTGGAGACAATATGACTGTCCGAAAGTTTTGGAAGGAGAAATTTGATGTCCTTATGGCAATACGACTTATACAGAAGGCCTGGGAAGAAGTGTCACAAAGGACCCTCATTTCTTCTTGGAAGATGCTTGTGCCTTCGTGGACCCAGGAAGAAGCAGTAGTTGATGACACAGAAGTGGTGAAGGACATCATCACAGTGGCCCAAAGGTTGGAATTAGAGGTAGAGGAAGAGGATGTAGAGGAGCTTATTGAGGAACACGAAGAAGAGCTGACAACTGAAGAGCTCCAAGCACTTCTGGTCCAGCAACAGGACAATGCTCAAAGGGAAGTGTCATCTGATAACGAGGAGCAACAATCAAACAATCAACCAATCCCAACTGCTGACATCAAGAACATCCTGGTCAAATGGAAAGCAGTTCAGGAGTTTACCAATGCCCACTATCCGGATTCAGCTGAAGCAAACAGGATCAACGATCTTTACTCCGATACTCTTGTCCGTTATTTCCGGCAGATGTTGGAGAAAAGAGAAAAACAAACGACTTTGGACAGGTTTTTCATGAAACCATCGGCCAAAAAGCAGAAAATGGATGAAGATGTGCAAGATTCGGTAGACTCTACTTAGTCTGTCTTAAAATTAAAAAAATGTGTTTTTTTTTTTTTAAAATTATGTTTTTAGATGTATCTAAATAAAAATAATAACAAAAAATTTATCTTTTTTTATGTCATCTTAGCATATTTTATGCTACAGAACGAATTATTTTTTTTAACATGTATTGTTATGGGAAAACGCGTTTCACATAACGGACTTTTCGCATAACAAACTTGCTCCTGGAACGAATTAAGTTCGTTGTGTGAGGCGCCACTGTATTAAAATAGATGATCATTTCTTCGGCTTAATTATTAGATGATGTAATTGGCCCAAGGGTGGGTGGAATAAAAAAATATGCACTTCTCAATGTAGAATCACACTCGTGCTTATATTAGAGAGGGGACAAGAGAATTGACTCACTCTATACTCATTGAATGAAATGCCAGAGTGGAATTGATTACATTCTTTTTGTTGTCTCTCCCTTTCTTCTGAAGACTTTAATGTAATTATAATTTAATATGCATATTGGAACTTAATTTGAATTCAATTAATAAAATATTACAGTCCATAAACAACCCTCAGGCCTGCTGATGATCTCTGTGACCTCTAGAAATAAGTCCAATCAAAAACTAAAGCAGCTTACAAGTTCATGGTTCTGTATCTCCAGAAGGCAGAATCCCTCAGAATTTAAACCCAAGCCCAGGCCAGAGAAATCCTTTCCTTCCCTTGGACTTTAGGACTGAGCTAGATCTTCCAATTTGTTACAGCCTCAACAAACATTTATCAAATGCTCTTCATATTTCACTCACTGGACCTGCATTTAGGAGGAAAGTAGCATTAAAAAATACATTTCTCTGGCACGGACACATAATCACCCCAATAATCTCAAGGTGGCCTGTGAGAAGACAGTGTCAGCCATGCACCTCGTTCTGCAGCTGACCAAGTGTGCGAAAGCCCGGGCTGAGGAAGGACAGAAGCCCAGCCTGGCCATGCTGGAGCGAAGGATGGTCCAGAGCAAAAGGGACATGGAGAACCCAAAGATTGTCGTCCAGGCCACCGTGCTGTGAGGGCTCCTGTGCCCACCTGCTGGCACAGCGCCGGTGTCTCTGTCGTCATCTGTTCGCCTTAGAGCTGTGACTGAAACTTGATATTTTTTTTCCCTTTTGTGAGTGTCCAGCACCCACTGGTCTTAATTGTGAAAATGTGCCAATCATGCCTTATTTATTTTTTAAATACATTTCTCAACATAAAAAAATCACATTGATGCTCATAGTAAGGGAACTGAGATGCTAGGGTTACAAAGGTAAGACATAGACTCTGCCTCTCCCTGAGAAGAGGGATAATGTTGAGCAAATATAAAATACAGTGTGAGAAAAATTCATAGAGGTATGCATAAAGTTTCATGGAAAGAAGGGAGACTTGACTGATTATCCACTTAACTGAGGCAGTAAATCTCTCTCTCCCTTCTTTTCTTCTTCCCTTCCTTCCTCCTTCCCTTCCTCTATTGAACAAGAGTCCATGGTTAGTTACTATATATAAAGCACTGCACTAGATGTCATCAATGCACAGAGAATAAAACCAGATTCTATGTGAAGAAGTGTTAACGAAAAAACCATTGAAATCTGTAAAGAATTTTTGTGAGTTTATTTGAGCCAGACTGTCGACATATGGCGGGGAGCAGAACCTCAACGGATTGAGATAATGCTCCGAAGAATGGCGGGTTACATTTCTCTATTTATACACTGAAATCAAAGGAGGGACTTAGGCGGGTTACATGAAATTCATTGGTGATGGAGTAAGGAGGCAGGAGAAAGCAAAGTGGTGGGAAACTCCTGGGATTGGATAAAAAGTAAAATGATGGACATGTACTCAGGTGAGTGCAGGAACAATTAACATGATAATGAAGGAATTTGAGGCATCTGTCCTGGCGCCCACCACATTTGGTTGTGCCCCAGGGGCTCCAGAAAAAGGAAACTAGTAAGTTACCCAGACATCTCATAGATATGTTATTTTAGGGGCGAAAAGGCAAATGGACTCAGTAAAAAGATCGAAGTTGATCTTTGTCTGGGAAAATATTGGCCTAGAACATGACTACCCACTATAACCTGTTTGTAGTTAGATATTTAATTTTCAAACCATCTTTTGTGGTTATTTTAGGTCTTTAAGTTTGCAAGACTGCCACGCAGGCCTCTCCTGAGCTTGTCAGGTTAGCATGTGGCTCTTTTCTTTCACAGAAGCGTTAATTTGATATAGAAGGTAAACAGGTAAGTAGGTAATCTTTATGGGCCACTTCTTTGTGACAGGACCATGTGAGGTCTTTAATTACATTCTTTCTTACAGTAATCTTGTGAGATAGACATTATTATTCTAATTTTACCAATTAGAAAGTTGAGGCTTAGAGAGGTACTTTATGAGGATCTTGTAGCTGTGAATTGTGGAACTGAAGCTCTCATACATTTATCTTAAAACAAAGTCTATACTCTGAAGACTGTGGATTCTGGGATGTGAGTTTTTGGGTTTAAATCATCTTCACCACTTATCGACTGCATAATTTTAGTCGTTTTACTTAAATTGTCTTAGAAAGGTTTTCTCATGACTGAAAGGTCCCAGGTTTGATTCCGGTCAAGGACAAGTACCTTGGTTACAGGCACATCCCCAGTAGGAGGTGTGCAGGAAGCAACTGATGTTTCTCTCTCATCAATGTTTCTAACTCTCTCTCTTTCTGTAAAAATATAAATTATTTATATATTGTTTCCTCATATAAAAATAAGATTAATAGTATCTACTTAATAGGATTGTGCTAGAGTTTTAGCTCAACTCAGTTAAGGCATTTGGCCTAGTGCCTGGCCAATTTTTTAAGTTCACTAGACTCTAAAATTTAGAATAGAAAACTCTGTGAGGAAGGCTGTAATGAACTTGTTATCAGTGGAAGGTGACAAGCAATAAAAAGGCAAGGAAACAAATTAGATAATTACAGAGAGTGGTAATTAAACAGGGTAACGGAAGAGAAAGTGAGGAGGAAGGGTGGGGGTGGCGGGGGAGGGACTAAGAGGGAAGCCTTGATTCCACCCCCAGGTAGCAAGCTGTTCATATGTAGATCGACTGCGATCTGTGAATCGATGCTGAGTGAACTGCTCCAAAGGACAGAAAAGCAAACGCTCTTAAAAACAAGGGCCATTATAATGCTAATATGAAAAACCTCTAATTTAAGCAGAGCAATAAAACACTCTAATCAATCTTTGAGTTAGCCAACCTGTTAATGAAGACACATTTTTATGATTTTGATGACAGAAAAGAACCAGTTTTTTTTGTCTCTACTTTGTCTTACTGCAAGCTAGAACTAAGTAGGATTAGTCAAAGCCATCCTATTTTAGGGAACATTTATCCTCCACCCATTCATTCAACAAACATTTTACTGAGATCTTACTATCTCTTGCTATCTAGATTTACCAAATAAATCTCTTTCCACCCATTTCAAATCCTGCTGTTTTTCGCAACCAGTCTCTGGGCTCAGCCCCAAGACCTGAGGGGCAATAAATGGATTCAGAGTTGCTACTCAAACACAGATCTCCATAGAAACCAAAAGACTGAGAAAACAATGAGAGGAAGAGGCAGCCACAGCCTGACCTTTCAGACTCACTCTCCACATTCTTCTTGCTCTCCGGTATGAAGGCACCCACTTACTTGTGTTAACTAGTGCAAGTAAAGAACCTGACTGCCCCACCCCTCCAAATTTCTTAACCTCGCTTTTCTTTGATAGTAAGTGGGACACCTCCACCTGGTGGCTATAATAATAAATTACCACAAGAAGATGATTAATGAGTGAGAGCCTGCAATGCAGGCTATTAAGTAGCTGGAAAAGGAAGCGGGTAAAAAGAGTTAACATTCAGGAACCACTCCTAGGAAAGTGTTCAGTTGTGATGCATTTAATACTTATTTAATACTTATCCTTTCTCACACATATTTTAAAAGTACTTAAATATCATTTATGTTGGTGACTCAGGTTTGTTTTGCTTAATTTTGTTGGTTTGTTTTGCATCCAATCCAAATATGGGTACACGAGGCTGTCTCATATTTCACAACTTCATAGTAAATATTTTCTACCTGAATGTCTTGCTGTCAACCCGAATTCAGCATCATTCTGCAGCTGGAGGGTGTTCTTCTCTTCCTTTCCTTTCCCTTCTGGAGGCAGCCTTTGGTAGCTTCCAAAGGGAAACCAGAAGATTTACTCCACTGTCTTTTTGGTGTATTCCAGAGTTGAAGTGCTAACATTCTATCTCTCCCAGCATGGGAACAGAAAGCCGGGCTGTGGCAGGCATGGTATTGCTGTCCTTGTGTGGTAGGCAGTTAGACCGACATGAGCAGAGCAAAGAGGATGGGCCAGGTACAGAAGGTCACCAAGGTGGCAAGCCCCAGGTGCCTAGCAAAGGACAATGGTAGATGGGACCTCCTCCCCAGGGTGACATTTCCTCCCCTAGCATATTGCTGGTCGTGTTGTTTGGACCCCCTGACCTTTCCTCCTTAGCATTAACATCTAGGCCTCGTTGTATTTCAGTCCCAGGTCCAAAAAAGCAGCAAAACCAGATCAGTGACACAAGGGCTGACCTCAGGACCCGCTGCACTGGATAATGACCCCCCGCCCTGGCACCGACCAAGCAGTCATTTAATGGAGACCTAGACCCTGAAAATGTTAGGGGCAGAAATTGAATATTGGGGACCAGCTACAATGATAAGAAATATTAATCATGCTCTGTTAACCAGGATGGTGCTGTTCTGATGAGAGAAAGCACATTCTCACCTGGCTGAGAGTTGTACACCCTGGGACATGGGAGCTAACCTCAGAATGCAGTCCATCCTCCAGTCCTGAGAACTGCCTATCATTATGGAAAGATTTATAACCTTGGGGCTCTTTACAACCTCCAGTCCCTCTTACCTGTAATCTGGTCCAGGAGTGCCCAGAGGCACCCAGGGGCTCTGCGGAAACCCCCCCCACCCCCTCCAACCCACATGACTTATAACCTGTAATGATTATCCCATGCCTACTTTCCCATGCCTGTAATTCCTGCTTTCCCACATAATCTTTGTCCTTCTACCCAATATAAGCAGCTGGTTTATGGGGAGAGGAGAACAGATTTTTGTGGATGACCTGCTGCTCTCCCATACTGCCAGCAGTATTGGAATAAACGCTCACATATGATTTAACCCTGTCTCTGCTTAATTGGTTCAAGTAGTGACAGGCAGTTTGGACCTCTCAGTTGTCTGGTTACAAAAGAACACATGTGGAAAGCTGCTGAATTGTCTACTGAAATATTCTTCTGGAACTTCCCCTAAAAACTCCACCCTTAAAACCTTAGTACTCTCCCCCCTTGGAGAATGTCCTTGCCTTTGCCCTACCAACCCTGCTTCCCACCTCAGCTGGCCTGACTGTGACCTTCCTCACTTCTAAGCTCCAAGGGCCTTTCTTTTGCTTCTGTAACTTGTTTCATAAGCCCATTTCCTATACAAATATCTTTTCTGCCTCTGTGATTTTATAAGTAAACTAGTGGTCACGTGCCCGGATTCATGTACACTGATGTATTCCAGAGTTGAATTAGAAGAAATATTTTAATATTGCTATTCGCTCTTTCTCTGTAATAGAAGTGTCAGAGATGAAAGAAAATTAGTAAAATGTATATGAAAATAATAAATTGATTAATAAATAAACAATAACAACATGATATAACAGCAACAAAGACATTATATAAAAACAACAAAAACATGATATAAAAACATTGATAAAAACAATGACTGGTAAATTGATTAAACTTATCCTAATATCTCCCTGTGTACCTCATTAAGAGTAAAAACACTTTCAGAGTGCTTGACTAATTTCCCCTGTGATGAAGTATTTACAACTTTAATGTCACATGTTCTTCGAACTCGAGAGAAAGCAATATATAACTGGCCATGTTCGAAAATGGGTTCAGGTAGGAATATTCCTACTATGACTAGAGTTTGTCCTTGTGATTTATTAATAGTCATCACAAATGCTGGCATCACGGGAAACTGTCTTTGAATTAATTTAAATCAGAGGCCAGTGTCAGATGAGGACAAATCAATTCTTGGGATCAGAACAACC